AAAAAATATGACATTTTAATGATACTTTTAATATTAAAAACAATTTTTAGAAAACTGCTACCAATATGATGACATCAATTGAAATAAAAAGGTTGAAGATGGATTGAAGCACTGAATTTTATATTTAGAAAGCGAATTAAGAAATATAAAAAATCCAAAGAATTTAAAAAATTTATAAAGAAAAATTATTCAGTTAATCGATAATGCAGATACAGAGTAAAATGAGTTTTTTTATATTTAATATTTATTAATAATATATTTTTTTTATATTTCACATTTTTTCAAAATTTAAGATATATAAAAAATTCTAAGAACTTAAAAGCTCTACAAAAGAATTATTTAATTAGCTAATAATGCAAATAAAGAAGAATTCACATCTTGAAAGCAGAAATCAATCAAAACTTGCAGTGATAGTAAGTAGTACATGAAGCATTGAGTTTTGATTGATTCTTACTTTTCTGTTTTCTGTCAAAGTGAATTTTTCCTAAAAATGTTTTTTTTCATATTTTACTTCTTTTAAAAATATATTTCATATCTTTTAAAGAATTAAGGAACATAAAGAGTCCAAAGAATTTTAAAATACTACAAAGAAAAATTATTTAGTCAATTGATAGTACAAATATAGAAAAATATTTTTTATTTTATTAAATACTTTATATAATAATTCATAAAATTTTATTTTATATTGTGATATATTTTCTTGTGATTTATTTCATTGTGTAATATATATTTTTTAAACATAAGTTCATATTTTATAATATTAATCTAATAAAATAAATTTATATGACAATATTATTCTTTTTCATTCAAATAAACTCTATCAAGCACTTACAAAATTAATTTCCAAATTATATAATTTTACAAATGTGACTTCATTAATAATTGAATTGTTAGTTATGATTAAGTTTAAAAATAATTACTAATTATCTGTTTAAATTTTCAGACTTTTTCATATGTCATATATCAAATTAAAAAAAAATGATTGCTATTACTTTGATAACCAAAGCTGTAGAAAATGAAGAAATCAAAAATTAATTAAACATCGAAAACGATGACGTCGATCAATTTGTACTCGAAAATGGATTTTTTGGAAATATTTTCAATTACAGGATATACTTAACTGTTAGTTTAAAAAATTAACAACATTGTATTATACATACAAAGATACAAACAATAAATATATATGATTAAGTTTCTTTAAAAATTAAATAAAATATAAACTAAATAAAATAAAATAGATTAAATTAGATCACATATTCCTGCCATTCAACATGACCAACGGTATTAAAATACTTCTTAAAAATTACGAATAGAGATAACGTTTCTGCTAGGTTTTGCATTTATTATTTTTAAATTACGTAATTGAGTATTTTCCATCTATAGAAGCAATACGGTTTGGAACATTCCATGTCTGAAAATAATTATCTGCTATCTTCTCCCACTCCACAATTGTACTTGGTGTAAACATTAATAAGAATATAAATATTAAATTACAAAAGTTTTATTTAAATATTATTAATAACCTATGTAATATATTTTAATAATTTTTATATATTTTTTAAATATATTTGTATATTTTTTAATGTAAATTTTACCTGTAAATAATGTCTTCGAAGAATCTCATATAAAACACGACAAGTTTCAGGAATAATACAAGAAATTGTACAAGCTGAGATTTTTGTTGAATATTTTAGACTTCTATAACTTTCGCCCGTAGCCAAAAATCTCAAAATGAATGATAATCGTTCTTTAGGACTTGTACATTCCCTCGCATTAGTATTTTGACGTTGTATGTATGATGTTATCATTTCCACAAGACGATCAAATAAATCATTTCGCATCCTAAAAAAACCTTTCAAAACATATATTATCTTCTCTTCTTAATTCTACGTGTGCAAGGTTAAGTATGCCTCGCAATTGAAAATTTCTCCGAAGAATCCATTTTCGAGTCCAAATTGATCGACGTCGTCGTTTTCGATGTTTAATTAATTCTTCTGTTTATTTTATTTTCACAGCTTCGGCTATTAAAGCAATAGCGATCAATTTTTTAAATTTATGAAATTATATGAAATATTATATGAAAAAAATCTGAAAATTTAAACACATAATTAGTAATTACTTTTAAACTCATTTTTACAAAATGGATATAAATTAATAATTTAATAAATTTAAAAAATATATTTATTTATATAAATAATATAAATATATACAATCGATACACAATCAAACCTTACAAATTCAATACTTTAATGTTGTCTGACTACAATTAATTTTATAAATTGAAATATATTGCCATCTGTAGTTATCCGAGTCAAATAAATTAGTAATAAAAACTCAATCCGAGTTTTCGGACCGAGTTCTAACATCGTGGACACAGGCCTTTAGACTTACCCCTGTTCTACAATACGTCGTCTGTCGGTATTGTGAATCGTAGGCTGTAAAAATGGACCAATTACTGACAAACGTGGAAAGAATACTTGATTGTGATTGACCCATTTTTACGACTCACGACACCGACATGCGACATATTGTAGAACAAGCTTAAAGATCTATCTACAATGGGAGTAAGCAGTAACGAGTAAGAAGTAGAATATAGATGGATATAAAGTGTAACGTCCGCAAAAAATTAAAACTTGCGGATGTTCATTCGAAATGACGTAATGCAGTCGAGCAATATCTTACGTTAACGCATGCGCGATTTTAAATATTAAGATATATAACTTTACCATTTTATAGTCTTATCATTTTATATATATATTCCTCCTTTTTTTATATAACTTTTATTATTAAGATAATTAATAGTAAAGCGAGAATTCATTTTTTTCGTTTTGCGATAAGATATAATTTTATTTTATTACTATTATTATTGTTTTCTTTTGGATATATATTTGGATATATAATTTGGAAATTTTATAACTTATATAATTAATATAATTTTATAACTTAATTTTCTTTTTCTCGAATTGTCTCTTCTTCGGTTCTCGATGTTGCAACTGTAGAAGAGACAAAGGAACATTCGACAATCTTAGTTTATACTAAAGGGGAAGCTTATCGCACTCAAATATTCCTAATATGTAGCCCCTCCCAACGAAAGACTAGCTCGGAGAGTCCTTCGTTGTGCAATGAAAATTTAACTGACGAAAACGAATTAAATGAATTCTCGTTTTGCAATAATAAGATTTATTATTAAGTATTAACGATATCTCCGAAAAAATATTAGGTCTTAGCTTTATTTTTCTTTCTTTCTTTTCCTTTTATTTTTTCCTATTTTCGCGTAAATAACTGTAGCACGAAATAGCATAAAATGCTCAATCGAGGAGTGCTTTGTTTGCTCCTCCCCTTTTCATCGGGCCCTATCCTAGAGATAGAGGTTTGGATGCAGACGCGGCAGTCAATACCAAATCGTCAGAGAGTGCAGTCACTGTCTCAAACCGCTGAATCTTATAAT